CAACAATTTTTAAATGCCAATATGGTGATGCAGCATATGGGAGGGGGAACTAATAGTTCTGTTGGTGGTATGTCATCTCCAAACTATGCTACAGGAGTAGGTTCTAATGTGAACAATCGTGGTGCCAACCTTGATCCCATGTGTAACACCGCAGGTAATGTTCGGTCACGCAAATCCAGTGGTTCATCTGGTGCAGGTTCTAATGTTATACAATATCATCATGGCCAGTATGCTTCAAGTCAGCCTCTTATTCAGTCATCTAACTCTGAACAGTTAATGCATGTTTCTCAAGTCGCATATAATAAGGTAAGCAGTGTTTTGCTTCTCGTTCATATTTGATTAACACTATGTTTAGTGTTGACGGAACACTACTGCATATACTCCAATGGTCTGAGAATGCAGCTTGTTGCGTTATTCTCTACAAAAAGGAGCTGCTATACAATGTAGCTTGTGAACTGCAGCAATGGAGAACCTTAAAGGAATCTACATAGTCATCGACTACGAAGATGACCCTTTGAATGACTGTTTTGGAACTTTCACAGTACACTGGCAGATAACAGATTGGTACAAATATTCCGGAACATATGCTACCGTAATTTAGACTGAAAGTTCTGTACTCTTAACCAGTCTCTACGGAACTCTTGATTTTAAAACTCAAATTTGCTAGGTCCTTAGAATGCGCAGAAATGAAGGAAATGTTGCTAATAGATCCGAACTTGCTCCATAACCTTCACTAGCGTTTATGGAGCTTTTATGCTAGAAAATGTAAAAGATATCAACATAAAATAAACTTAGTAAAGCATTCAGAAAAAACTATTCGTTTAGGGGATTACGCAGATCAAATATGTCGATAATCGCTTAACTATTGCATTTTATTTGTTTTTTTGCGGGGCAGTATTTCCACAACCGTTGTGATATGAGTATTCTTCACACAGTAACTTGTATTTCATAACCTGACGTGTTATGTTTGCTTCTGATCACCTTCCTCGATGAGTTATGTTAGTTGACATGGAATTAATTAGAGAATAATTAGGAGTGGTCAGACGAAATCAATCCATTAAGTGTTTAACCATTGTTTTGAGCCACGTAGGGAGATCTAAACTGTCTGGCTGGGGTCCTTGAGATACTAAGAATCAGTGGTCTGGTGGCATGAGTCAAGCCGTTCAGAACAGTATTCACTCCTTGTGATATTCCAGTCCGATTAAATTCTCATTATTAATTTAGTTATCCAATACATTCCTTTTCCCTACCTTTCTTGTGTGCTGTTATGAAATGTAACAAATTGAACCGCTACACTTTTGTGCAGTCATACATTTACAATTCAGCATACTGTTGTCGAAATTATGAGCATCACAATTTTTCATTAAATTGTTCACTTGCACAAATTTTGTCCACTGCATTAGCACTTACACTTATGATTTCTTCTCTTAAGTGCCGTGCTTGCATTGACGTATATCTGCGCAAAGTCTTACAAATTTTACATTGACTCCTTGGTCAATCGAGTACGGTTAGTCCAGTTGTAGCATACGGCTGACGGTTTTCTCTATACTAGTTTGCACATTTTCTCAGATTTTTAGTTTGTGATTACTCTCGTTATCAAGTCAGAGTTTATTGTATGTCTTGATTATGCACCAGTGCATATAAACGATTAACAGTTAAGATAAGGTAACAAAAACCACTCACTTTGTATATTCTCATTACACGGCATAAATGCTTGTTAGTATACAAATTGTGTATGTGTTTAACGATAGCCTAATATGCAATCCCAGTATATGGCTTCGCAAATTGGTCATCCCATTAGCGGAACTGCATCTCAGCCTACACATGGTCATGATCAACAAAATTCACTTTCTGGCAGAAACGAATTAAGTGGCCAACTACACATGCGACAAAATCAGCAACACAAGTGGGCTAATGTGTCGCAAATGGGGGATTCTTCAGAAATTCCTCAATCACAACAATTACAGATGCAACAACAAATCCAACTGCAGCAGTATCAACAACAAAATATTCGAGATTCAGTTATTTATCAAAAACAATCAAGTGCAGAGATGAACAAAAATACTGATAAGGTAAATTTTGTCACGTTTTCATTAGAACTATTATTTTCGCCATTATTATTATTGTAATAAAAATGCTGAAACAGCTGAGAGTTGGCATGTAGACTTAGTCCTCGCTCTTGAATATTGCAACGCCCATTTCAGCAATACCTTCTGGTCTTAACATGTTTTAAAGGTAGGTTTGAAGTAGTTATTGTTATGGTATAAGTCTGAGGACTATGTTCCGCTTCCAGCAGATGAACCTGTAACGACTGTAAGTTATTTCTTTCGAGCAACGTTCAAGCCAAATACGCTGCTTAATAGGATGTTAGAACTAATGACATACCAGTAAATTTTAAGACCTACATCAACGCATGCTTTAATCGTAACCGACATGATGCACAGTGCAAGTCCTAATAAAAGCTGTCTGCTACAAAAAACTAAATATTCCAACTTGTGTGTAGTAGGTGTACGCCTTAGTGTGCAAGTTGAGAAGTTGCGTGATACTTTCTCAGAGCAAGCACGGCAAACCGATGATGAAAATCACTTGTTAAAACTGTTACCAGCTGGTAATAATTTCCGAGAGCGACATGCACTTTGGTATCTCCAAGTTGGACTCAAGTGGAATATATTGCTATAAACTGTAGAAGACTGTCATTCTGTTGGAAGCACGTACTAAGTACAATGGCAGCGGACTGCTCTATGTACGCTTTCGTGTGCACCTTAATTGGTACAATATTTGCTGAACCCCTCAGAGTCAATTTTGACCATGCATATATTACAGCTACATTCAAAAAGGAAGCGGTCAGACTGCTGGGTGGACAAAACAGTGCTACCCTTTATAAAGGAGCTTGATATTAGATGGTTGTAGGCGATAGGCAGGAAGCCTTTGACCTAGGTTTCGTGCTAGTCGGCACTCGTCAGTAAGGCACATCTGCAAACGTGAAGGAACTCATGTCCCTTCTGAGATTCGAACCCGCGTCACCCAGTGCTGCAGTCAGAGACGTTACCACTGAGCTATTCGGGCTCGCGAACTGTATTGGATACTTCCGATTGGACACTAGAGAGGATTAGACACATCGCACTAGTTACTAACTAGCGTCCAACCAAAGGAGCTAAATGTATAATGCTTCTGATCTTTAGGAAACTCAAAAATAACCAGTGGTGGTTGATGAACAACACACCTAGGAATCATGTGTGCTTATCGTAACCTCTAAATACCACCACATAACTTGGACAAAATATCCGGTAGTTTATTAAGGGTTTATGTTGCGGTAAAATAACTTCAGTGTATGTTACTCATCACAAGCTGAAAAGTGACTATATTGAAAAGAGTAGGGAGTATTCACAACGAAGCTCACAACTTATTCACCAAATGGCGTAGGCTCCCTGGCTATGGTTACACATGACCTATGGTTAGAGACTGTGGAGGATATGGCCCAAAACCAACACATGCTTTGTCTTTCTTTTGATTATAATATATTGTTGCGCTAGGATCCTTATATTTTCTCCTTTTATCTTACAGCACATATTATCCATATTACTTCCTTTTCATCCTCCACTTAATATACAAAAGGAAGGTTTAGCAACTGTGACTACCGTTTAGTGGTGTCAAGTCCTTTGTTGAATTTGGCTGTCTTCTCGCAAATTTCATCGACAGCCGACCCTTAAGACTACTAAATTTTAAATGAGAGCATCAAACAAACATGGAATTTTGCGGTTGATACGAAACAAATTTGGTAGCGCTAATCGCTATCATGTCAGACTTAATCTCTCAGTTAAAAGTTCAATATATAAATAACCGCTCTACATTTCGTCATCTTATAGAAAACTTAGAGTATTCCTCACGATCAAGAATTGGCTACATTCTTTTACATGTGCATAATTTGGAGTTAATTTGTCGGCTTAGATTAAATTTCAAGTTATGCGAGTAACTCATCCGGTTTCATAAAATATACAATGATATCAATGTAATTCTGTCATTTCTTATCTAGATGAACAAACTGAATATTTCTGGTCCCACAGTACCTAATCAGCAGCCACAACAGCAAAATTTTAATACTAAAACTATGGATGAACCATCCGATGAACATTTAACTATACCACCACCTGGAGCATTCTGCTACGAAAATGAACAGGAATCACAGTTTGGAAAGCAGCAAGAAACAGATTTCACTGATTCACTTACCATTCAAAATAGTAAACTAATACAGAGAAAACCTACTGACCCAGCCTGGGCACCAGATTTCTATATTGAACAAGGTATGAAATGTTCAACTTTAAACATAACTTTCATTTTCTCTACTCGATACGTAGAGTGCGAATAGACGCTCGGAAATATTTCGCTTGTAAGTGATAATGAACTAGGCTAGTCGTTAAAATTATATTTCCTGTTTCAGAAATCCTACCAACTTTCGTTGTATTATTATGTGTTATCCATACACCGAATGTCAAGAGTAAATCTTTCAACCAATATCACTGAAAATTATGCACTTTGATAATCATTTTCGATGTATTGACTGATACCACGAGTGATTTGACATGTTAGCTAACTTCCAATCAATCATATTTCATGTCTAATTTGTAGTTAGCATTTCGGCTATAATCAAATCTAGTCAAACCTACTCTAATATTTTTATCACCAATTTCATAACCTAAGCTGAGCTGTGTAATTCGGTTTTTTTTATATAGTGACTGTTAATTTTTAATCAATAATCTGTCATTTTATATTTAGACATAATATTCACATTTTTGGGGGAAAGGGTGTGTCTAACTGTCTTGTTATTTTTTCTGTTTATACAGTAATCACAATGTATGAATATGTACGTGATAAAGACGACGAACTGACATTTACAGAGAATCAAATAATATACGTAATTAAAAAGAATGATGACGGTTGGTGGGAAGGGGTTATGAATGGTATAACTGGACTATTTCCAGGAAACTATGTGGAACCTTTTGAAACAGAATGATTTTTAAAAAATTCTTTTAGGCAATAATAATTGCACTATTTTATTGGACTTACTTTCTTGGCTATGGTAATTTCACTTTTAACTCAAATAATAAGACTTTAATTTATTGATTGTACTTATTAATTTTTAATAATTAATTTTTCTGACAAATTATAATCATTATCATCATCAGCGACATGTTCGTTGTCTTCTGAATTTTCAGAGTACTGTTCTTCATCATCTTCACTAGTTGTATCTTCGTCTGAATAGTAATCTGTATGCGCTTGACGACCGTATTCGTAAGTACGAACTAAAAGAAAAGTCAATGGTAACGAAAATAAGTAATTAGTTAGGAGTTAAGACTATCCGGTTTGGTAGCTTAGTCATTTTCGTCAAAACAACATCTAGTATGCATATTAATTGAGACAAAAAATAATAATTAAAATAACACTGAAAAAATCAAAGAATCCCGAGGAGTTGCACAGAACAGACAGGTAGATATATTTGCACACTGAGCTACACTCGTAGATGATATTTATTTAAGTAGTACTCACCTGACATGCTTAAGTTGTAACTGGCTGTTAGATCATGGCTGCATTTCGGACAGGGAATAGGTTTCCCACGCTCATATTTAACGCCCTTCCTTTTACAGTGATCATCACAAAAGGACACTTTACAGCGAAGACACGTTTGTGTTCCCATTTTATTGCATGATGGACATTTGAAGTTTTCTCCTTCCAAACACTGACAGCTTGCCTGTTGAGTTTTAAAAAAATATAGAAAACAACTTATTAGCAACCGAAGAACTTTTTATACTCATTAGGTCAGTGTATAAGACCCAATCGTTTTTTCGAAAAAGTAGCGACGTTGTGCAATAATCTACGTTAAAAGTAGTTTGAAATAATTATGGAGGTAATGCACTCTATTCCTAAATGAAACAGCTTTCTGATTATAAAAAGCACAAAAAAGGGTTGCCAGAATGGTTAAGTGAAACTGTAATCATCCCCGAAAGGCAATGAAAACTAACTCATCACTTTAGTATATCAGTATAATTGACCTTTGTTTTCAAAAATGTAAACTAAAATGACGAAATTACAATTAAGGTTGCATCTGCTATAGCAGTGTACCCTTATGCACATGTCTTAAGACGTATTGTGACACTATGCCATTAAATGGCATGGTTTGAGGAAGACAAGAAATAGTGGTAATTGGAGACTACAAGCCGAACCAGAATCTTTTTACACTGAAGAGTACAAGACGTTTTCAATATACTTGTAAAACACTTCTTATAAGTCCCTATGTTTATATCAATGGAACTTCAATTTTCTTTGTTTCCGAGCTAAAATGTCAATCTTATTCGACAGAATTAATTGTTCTTTATTTAATGGTAGATATAAAAAGTGAAATTATGAGTCACATATGGAATTTTAGTGCGACTACAGTGCTCAAGACGTAATCACAGTTAAATACAAACAAAATATATAAACTGTTTGAATATTCCCATTCACTGTGCGTCGGTGGCACAGTGGTTAGGACGCTCGCCGACCATGCACATGGTGTAGGGTTCGATCTCCTGCCGAAGCACGCCTGATATCAGTGGTTGGCCTGTAAAATTTCGGTTACCGATATCACATTCTGAAAATTCCATACTTATACCAAAAATAAGATGTGGAATCAAGCTATAATCGAAATTAACATGTACAAAAAACTTTACATAAAAAGTACAATAGTGGAATACGTGTCCGTTTTAATTTATCTAATGGACAACCCTAAGGCTATGATACTGCTGAACCATGCAGATATATAACTTTAACCTACCTGATGCTCAAATTGATCATCTTCACAAAGTTTATGATTACAATAAGCACAAGAAAAGACTCGACCGCCATGACTATCTAATCCACGTTGACATTCAATGCAAGTGGAATCTTTCAAAGGACATTCGCAAGCATGTACTGATAAACACTTTTCCCCATGACAAATCCACGCATCACAAAAATCGCAAATCGCTCCCTTTGAAATTTAATGAAAAAATGTCGACATATTAAATGTAATAATACGTATATATACATATCAAAATACCAACAATACTGAAGTTCGTTACTGACTTGGAACTACTGAAATACTTACTGTGGCTTATGTATACTGGAACTTTTTGAAAGTAGATTAGCATGTTAAACATAATAAGTTAGTGGATGAAATTACTAAGTTTTCCCAGTAATATTGGTTTCAGTGGATGCATTCACCTTGCCGAAACTAATGATTGCATTATAAAGTGTCTTCACATTTTTATGTAGTCATGTTATACTTTTGTTTATAGCTGCTGCTATTTCTCTTGTGAGTTATGAAAACCTGCGTTAATGCATCGTTGCGTGTAATAAATTTAATGCTCTGCTGGTGAAATAACACATAAAATACCTCTTCAGTGAATTCCGTGCTGAAATGTGGAGTTAATTTGTAATCTGTAAATTAATGTAACAGGTAATAATTTAAAAAAGTACGTTTTGAAAAAGTGTACACAATACATAGGTCGAGAAGAAGTTTGAAGAACTACAACGTTTTCAAGGATACTTAATAAAATTGCTTCACATACACCCTTTAAAATCTCGCTAATATATTGTGGCGAAATTTTAGCAATGAAAGCTCTCTCTCTGCTGATAATCAAGGCGTCAGAATGCTTATTTTGCAGTGGTTATAATCTCCCTATGACTTTAACTACTATTTCATATTCTTAGCTTTATTTCATGGTGACTGTTTTTCCCATACACGTGTTAAGTCCTAGTTGCGATTCAATATATTCACCTGTTTTTAAAACTGGAAATCCTCACCGTTTTTCGTTGCACACTTTCTCTACAACTAAGAATTTTATGTAACCGCTTTATTACTGTTTAATTTGCTAATTCCTTCTTGAATGTTAATCGATGACACTAATTGGTTTATTTTATCTACAGATATTATATGAGAAATTTTGAAAATGGTAAACTGTTAAGATGCTTGTCTAAAATGAACTGCCTTCACTTAGTTGATTTATCCATTTGAGTGATACTATCATATTCTACCTGTTGGAACAGAAAAACAGTATCACTGTGTAAGCTGTTTGAAACTCAAGCATCTAATACATCAGGGTGAAATTTCACACTTGGTTTAAGAAACATCCTTGTGCTACCTGGAATAGGGTGTTATAAACATAAAGTAGAATAGCAACGATTCATGCATTGGATAGCTGCATTCCTGAATTGCACAGAAAACTAGTTGAAATTCTGTTTTAATACAACAAATATATATTGTTTACTTTACTAGAAACAACAATCAGTCAACGATTTTCTAAGAGATAATTCATATTTATGATACAGAACGAAAACGGGGATAGTGCTTTGTTCTCTTACCTCTGAAACTACACCTCAGAGAACACAGAGTAACTTCCTCCAACCCCCTTGTTTTGCCTTTTTTTCGTTGCGCTAATGTCTAGTTCTGTAACAACCTTATATTTTTTCTGCCTCCTTTGAAAATTAAACATACAAAATAAATTACTATGTCAATATTTAGTAGTTGGCAATAAACATTATAGCATTTCCCGAAATTCTAAACAAAAAACGGGGAAAAACAACTTTGGGAACGTATGCATCACTACTTTTGTCACCCATTGACGGAGTAAAATGATAAGAATGAAAATCTAGTATGATCAAACGTACCACCATACCAAGTCCAGTAACGTGGGTGGAACCATGTTTAACAAGACAATCTCCCGAACGAGCAGAACACTTTTGTTTGCCACAATGACAACACACTGGAAGTCTTTGCACAGCCTGGCAAAAGTAACAAAACGCTCTATTCTTTTGTTTCTTCCCACATTGACCGCACTCCTGTTTTCTGTTGGGTTAGACGAGTATACGCACGTACCATTATTATATTAGAAGGATGATTGATGAGATCAATTTCTAATCTTTGTTGTCGAAGTAATTTTTGTCTTACTTTGGCTTTTTCTGCCTTTTTCCTTTGTCCAGTCTTCTTTTTAGGCATTTCAGTCTGAGTTGGTTGTTTTACAACTGTTAAGAAATTCAGTCAGGGCAAAAAACTGAGTTAGCTCTCATGGTAAATAGCAGAATGGTGTCGTAATTATTTTACAAAATATAGTTTTTCAAAAAAGGAGAAAACATTCGAAACAAAATATAAAAACGAAATTATATATCCCGAGCTCCCTTATTTTACCGTGAAGGTATCATCACCGAGTTTTATCACAGCTTTACGGGAAAGCTTTTAATATTTTCCCTTGAGGCAGGGAACTTCGTTATTTCACAACTTTGCATGACCTGCAGTAATTTCTAAACATATGCAGTATTTATGAGAAGTAACCGTATGTAATTAAAGTACTTTTTTTGGAATACCGGTTTGACATGAAAATCGGAGTAGTTTGACATAGTAGCCTTAACTCCAATAAACATAGTCGTATGTACATGGTAGTCAGATATTGTATCAAGTCCACCGATCACGTATTTTAGTTTTCCAAACTAACGTCCGTATTGCTAACAATGCGCCGCAGCATGCCAACGGCTCAACAAAGGCAGTAGTGGTCAAATGCTTACTTTTATACATTTTTTTAAAAGAACCAAAGGTTACATCTTTCAGCTACACAGAAGAACTTTCAGTGCTTTAAATGACTATACTGGATTATCGATAAGAATTCTGACAACTAATCAGTACTTTAGGTGGCACTGTTGAGAAAGTATTCAATGTGGATTTCGTACCTTTACCAAGCTTCTTTTAATCATTAACCTTTGAAGATCCAGTGTTAGCTGCAGGATTATCGATATATATATATATATATATATATATATATCAAAGACCAAAGAAGCCATATAAAAAAAAATAGCAATTTTGGGATTTCTCGGGGCAAAATTCTTATTTGAGGACTGATGCAACAAGCCTAACAAAATAATAATAGAAAACGGAAGGCAAACTAGTTGGAATCGGATTGATAGCAACATAAAAATTTTAGTCTCTCTCCGCCACCGAAATATATCGCCTAGTCTTCAGTTTTGACTGTGTTAAGCAGCTAAGCTTTGGAAAGTAATGTGTCTATGCGACGGTTCTACATAAAGGTGACGTGCTTCATCCAAATCTAAGCTTTACCAGTGTATGACTGCCTGTCTTGTCAGACTGTGTACGGATATTCTGAATGTCACGCCTACCTAACGCAGATTCACTCAATATAAATAACTAACGAGATTATGTGAATTGAACAAAGACATCTCAAGAGTTTAGGATTTCTGGGGACTACGGAATAAAACAATGTTAAATGGAATTTTGTTCCAGTTATAGATGGATTAACCTCAGAAGGTCTATTATATAAGACCTAAGATAACAAAAAGCTTATTTTACGTTGTTATGAAGCATGGAGATAGAAAGAAGAGCAACGAGACTGCACTGCAGTGCACGAGCCCCTGCCGCGATGTTTTTTCGTAGTGAGATCGATACCAAAAAGCCTCTATATCTCTTCTAATTTCAGATATATGAATTGTGTGGGGTAGTAAAATTAAATAAGAAAACATGCGGTGATTCTAAAGTATAGCAGACGAAATAGAAACTACCTAACGTATACTGACACGCAACAACCGGCAAAGTTAACCTTGAAGCACCAGCATGTACCAACGAACAAATGACCTTGAGTGCACCATCGACATGATAACGGCGACGCGACTTTTGCGTGTTTAATATATATATATGTATATTGAAGAAAATTATGAATTAAAAGGCATGAAACTGTTACACAGGACATCCTTCTCTGACGTGTGACGAAAATACCTCTTAGTTTTGGATTGGAGTATCGACAGAGTAATTTGACTACATTCTATGCATGAAATGATATAGGTCTCCTAACCCTAACAATAACCCTAATCTTTCCCTAACCTAGCCCTAACGTGAAAAACCCCTAATATAACCCACAAATCTTACCTTGCCCCTATAAGGTCAACCTAACCCTAACATCCAGCCTAAACATCAACTTCATCTTTCTCGAACCGAAGCTGGAACACCCCAGATATCCCACTTAATAACAAAACACTTCACGAAGCAAAATTTATTGTGATGACAATATAATTTACCAGGTTTCACTGACTAACGTCGAACGTTTCAAGGTCATCAGTGCAGTCGCACTCCTCTGATACTTTCTGGTGCCTAAAGTTTAAGTTGTCCCAACAACTAAACTCCACTTTACCTCAAAGCCTCCATGATTTTAAAGTTATCATTTTATGGGAATTTTCAAATCCCTCTTCTGGAGGTTTCACCTCTGTTCACATATCTTTAGATGGTGTACTAAAATGTATATCTGGCAATAAGGAAGACTCTTTTTAATGTTTGAACGCATGTTTTATATTATTTTGAAGGATTTTTCGAATGGCGCTTAATGTTCTGAATTGACCAGATGTTCTGTCACTGAACTTTTTATACGTTTTTATTCTCCTTTTACTAGCCAGGCTGGATAGTGTTCACGAGCGCGTTTTTCAAGTTAGCACATTGTACGGCTGATGTACTCAGCCTCGCACGAGCAAGTAAGCTGGTATATGCATGCTGGGGTGGCTCAATGCGAAAGCTTGTCCTTGACGTTCTGGCTGAACAGTTTCTTCAAGGAAAACATCAATCGCGGCGGAGTATGTTTCCCTCAGAGATTTTCAGAGGCGTTTACGAAGGATATCTGCTTCAATGTCACCTTTGAATTCTAGATCAAGCAGAAGTATCTTTTTTGGGACGGATTGGACTTGTTCGGAAGTCTTCTTTGATTTGAGATTCTCGTCTATGAATCCGGGCAGAAAACCGTTTTCCATCAGGGTTCCTCAGAGTTTACGCAGTTCTCCGTCAATCACTTCCTTGTTGCATATCTTCCGAATCCTGGAGGAAAGACCGTATATAAGATTCCTCTTTCTGCTTAAGGGCACGAAGATCTGAAAGTTGATGAATTGTTAAATCAGTGTAAGCTTTTTGTATGTGAACCTTTTCAGGCGTTGGCGTTTCTTGTCAGATGGAAGTCGAGGAAGTGAAACATTCCATGGGATTCAGGCTCAGAAGTAAAGTCGATGTTTTGGTGGGCATTGTTGAAGGCTCGAAGTAAGTCTTCATCATCAATGTATCTCTTGTAGAGATGGAGGTCGTCGATAGTTGATGGTTAGGAGTTGTTTTCTAGGCTAGCTATAAAGCAGTCGGCCATGAGGGGTCCTAGGGGCGAACCCATTGCTACTCCATCTACTTGCCTGTATATTTCGTTGTTGAAACTAAAGTATACGTTGAAGGTGCATCATATTAACAGCTCTTTCAGGTAATGGATCAGTATAGCGACACCGATGCTACTGGATTGAATGTAGTCACTAAGGAAACATACGGCTTCTGCCGTTAGAACGTCGGTGAAGAGAGAAAGGACATCCGAGGAGACCATGTTCTTTCCTGCCGTGTTGACATTCCTAATTGAATTGACAAAGTCGAATATGTCACGGAGTTTGTGTCTTGACAGTTTCCCTTTCACTGGCCCGAGAATCTCCACCAGCCATTTCGCGATTGAGTGATATGTGGAATCTATCATATGTAGTATTGGGCGGAGTGCACTTTAGGTAAGCTGTACATGCGCAGCGTTGTGGAACCAGATGGACGCATTTGTTCGTATAGTTTTGAACTGTAAATGGATTCGTCTTTCGTTTTCCTCACTATCTCTGTTAGCTGAAGCTCCGTCTGTTCGATGGGATTATTTTGCAGTGTACACAACGGGTTTTCTCTCTGCGAAGCATCAATGGGACGCTAAAGGGTAATGTTCGAGTTGCAGCGTGGTCGTCTGTCAAAGGCCGAACGGAATCTTTCATCCATTTCCAAACCAGTGAGATACTGACTATTTTGAACTCATGAGGCATGTGCCTCTTGGTTGAAAGGTCATTTCCCGACATGAACTGCTACAAGCTTTCGAGGCTTACTAGGAATTTCATATCAAGATTTGCCTGAAATGAACTCTTGTTACTCCAGGCCCTTGTGTCGCAATGGTTCCTGATTTTTGGGTGTACCTCGTGGCTAGTTGGACACTTGGAGTGTCACCATGCATATCACAGTCCTTGCTTCTCCTCCGTAATAAGCCATATTTGCCTGTCCAACCACGAGGACTGCTTCCTAGTTTGTAATAATAATAATCATTTACTTTGTTCCAAAAACAGTACTTGTGATACATAATGGAATTTTCAGCATTAATCACAATATTGCATCTAATTTCCTCAAATTGTAAATAAAATTAACCACACAGAAAATTTTCCACATTTACTATAGGACTAATGTCAAAAACATGCAGCATATAAAATGGAAATAATAATAATAATGATAACAGCTAGGTTAATAATAATAAGACAATTGAAAATTGCCGCTGGCTTGTTTTACATAGTATTGTCAATGCGGCATGCAAATCCTAGCATGTTTAAAAATAGTGAATATAATGTTCTCTTTACATGATATAGTGATGAGAAAAACAAAGATTAGAGCAGTCATAGAGATAAGTTGGTGTTTGCAATTATGAAATTAAAACAAAGAAGCAACAGGACCATAAATATAATCGAAATAATAAAAGTAAAACTTGAAGGTATTTAAGGATGGATGGAGGAGATTGTTTATTTACTAGATGAAAAAAGGTTAGTCAATTCTTGCTTGACGCTATTTTCATCACATAAAATACGTGCCAAGTATGGTATCATAGAATTTTGATACTTAGATGTGCGGGCATACAGTTTTCTGAAGTTACTTCTCGTTCTACATGAGGAGATGCAAGGTGAAAGCTAGGGGTAAAGTGGATGCTCCAAGTCAGATAAAATCCCTTTAGCAAATTTTGTTGCACGAATTCAAGTGCCTATCGACAAAGACGTTAACTATGTGGTCCACTGAGATACCGCTCACCCTACTGACAGTCCAGTTAGAGGGCGGTTGTCTGAGGTTGTTGTGTGAATGATCCCTCCCACCGTTTATCGATGTTCCTCTACTGATGATTCGGCCCAGTCTGTTGCACGTTTAGCGTTAGGCGAAATCCTTCGG